TCAGTAAGGACTTGAATGAACAATTCAAGAATCATTTAAAGAACAGTAATGAGCCACTGGATATAGACTTTACCATACAGGTCCTCAGCTCAGGTTCCTGGCCATTCCAACAATCCTGTACATTTGTCCTACCTTCAGAGGTTAGTACGACAGTTTCTATGAATCAGTATATCAGTACATTATTAAATTTAATGAATAAATCGTTCACTGTGAGAATGACGTTTTTGGGACTACTTTATTGCATGCATCAGAATACATACTTTTGTAATGGTGTTATATGTCACCTGGGCACCCGAGTGTATTGATATGTAAAAAGTAGTGCCATTGGTAACTGAAAATGGTGAAATAAATAAGAAGTTAAACCTAAAACCTCTGGTTTCTTTGATGTTTTGTGTGTTCCTGAGTATACGTGAGATTCTGAGATAGGTGTGAAATTGGACATAAAAACAGGAAAAACAGGTCATAGTGTTGTAGTGACTTTGAATGATTGCATGGGATTCAACACAACAGTTTTTCGGGATATCTATTTCCACGTTTAATAATGTGCTCATACATTTCATGATGGTCAGCTCTGATGTAGGTAGGGTATTTTAACAATATATTTAATCTGTTCAACTTTCAACATTGAGCTATAAAATACATTTACATTCTAAATCAAATTTTTATTTCAGATGTTTTTTTCAAACACTACGCACATTCTCACAGTGAATGGAAAATTACCTGTTGGTAGCTACTAGTTCTGGACACTTTTTAAACTGATTATTATTTTATTGAATTTTTACAGTTTAGTTTTGCTTGATTAATTAGCAACTTTATTTATTCTTATTAATTATTTTTCAGTTGGAGCGTAGTTTTCAGCGCTTTACCACTTTCTACGCTGGGCAGCACAGTGGACGGAAATTGATGTGGTTATTTCAGATGTCTAAGGGTGAACTTGTTACGAATTGTTTTAAAAACAGGTATACTCTACAGGTAAGAATAATCCAAGTGTTTTCCATGCCTGGGCATGCATGTACAATTCACTTTTCTACATTCAAATGTTTTTTTCATTTATAATACTAATCCAGCAACAATATGTGCTGGGGGTACTGACTGTTTTCTTTTCAGTTCTAAATATGTTTTGCACAGTGTAATTTTTTTAAGCAATTTTATTTTATTTTATTTAAATCTGACTTGCTTGATTGCTTTGACATGAAGACAGTGATTCACTTTTAGGTCAAATGTTACTATTTTTCAGTATTGGTAAGGAGTTTGTACATAGTTTCTTTCATGCCCTACTGGTGTAGTTGTTTTACAGCAGTTTGGAAAATTATTCAAACAGTTGATTAGTAAGAGGGCTTGTAACTTGACAAAAAACTTTGTTTTTTGTCTAATCTAGACTTGACTGAACAATTCCATTGACACAAGTACATTTTAGTATTTGTCAACAGTATGTCATTTTTTCGGTTTTCAATCTGATTTTTGAGAAAAGTGGTGAAATAATACATATAAAATTTTAGCAGAGGTTTTCATAGACCACAATGAAAACACATTGCTGTGTTGAAAAAACCCACTAAAATATTGTCAATGTTATAATACTTCTAGACATCAAAAAGTATTTTGTAAGACAATATATCCCTTTTTTTCACCATATGTCATCCAGTAGATTTTTGAGATATATCCTTCCCATAGGAAACAATGTTAATTTTTATTTCATTTTTTTTGTGACATGATAAATAGAATTTTTGGAAACCATTCAACCACTCGCGGTTCAGCTGAAACTATTAAACTGGGTCACGGTGTGTAAAAACAAAGAAAATTGTATTTGTACTTCAGTGTATCGTTCTACCTCAACAGAATATTTTGTTTACCAGGAGTATTTATCACAACTGTTGCATCTGTGTCCTGATATTATTATTTATGTTTGTTTTATTGTAGGCGTCTACATTTCAAATGGCAGTACTACTCCAATACAACACTTCAGACACCTACTCCTTATTGCAATTACAAGAACATACCCAACTAAAACTGGTAAGTGTACTTTGAGTATTTGTGATTCAGTGATTTCAGGTGTATTTGTGATATAGTGATTTCAGGTGTATTTGTGATATAGTGATTTCAGGTGTATTTGTGATATAGTGATTTCAGGTGTACCGTGTATTTGTGATATAGTGATTTCAGGTGTATTTGTGATATAGTGATCTTGTGATTCGTTGATCTTGTGAATATCGTAAAATCTGTATCAGAAGCCGCATCCCTAATAGAAGTCGCACCCATTCTTTTTAAACAGTTTGGAACCAAAAATTCATCATTTCTCAAATGTGTAGATAGAAGCTGCATCCCATCTGTTGCATTGTACCATTTCAATAGAAGTCGCGGCTTCTAATACAGATTTTACAGTTTTTGTGATCTTGTGTTTCGCATAACTCTACATCGAATGCTTCTCTAAGCTGTTTGTTTGTTTGTTATTCTCTAGGATATCTTACTCCAAGTAATTCAAATTTTAGTGAAATCTAAGTTATTGGTAAGTAGACATGTTTTTTTTCGTCCCTCGTTCTTAAACACTTGTCTCGCTGGGAATTACATTTTCAGACATTAACTTTCTTCACCAGTCATAAATATAAATTTAATTAATTTTTGTCACATATTTTTCACAAGATTTATCAGAACTTGTCGGCAATAGAAAGTTTATATCCATTTTAGTACAAAAATACAAAAAAAAAAATGTGGAAAATATTGTAACAAAAGCTATCAAAAATATTTCTGTTCAAATACTGACACTTAAACAAAAGTTTTGCAAGGAAAACACATATAGGGCATCGTTCATATAGCTTCAATTAACATTCTCTTTGTTTCCAGGAATGTGAAGATGAGGATGATTGTCTAACGCAGCATTCCGTGGTTAAACTATTCCTTGGATACAAAAAGTAAGATTTTAGGGTTAAGAATTTGACGAGGCTCTGACAGGAATCTGCTCTGACAATAATTTATGCGATATTCTGCTCATTGTATACTACTCTGATGCCTAGGTACAATGCTAGTAATATCTCAGAGGTCAGCATACTACTCTGACATATTACTAGCATTGTAGCTAGGCATCAGAGTAGTATACAATGAGCAGAATATCGCATAAATTATTGTCAGAGCAGATTACTGTCAGAGCCTCGTCAAATTCTTAAC